ATTCTTGTTTAAATGTGAAGTATTCCGTGAGATGACGACACTCGTGGTTACCTCTGAGAAGGAAGAGTGTGGTGGGATGGCACAGTTTCAGTGCCCACAGGTACAACACGCACTGCAAATAAAATATAAAAAAAAGAAAAAAAAAGAAAAAAAAAAAGATAAAATAATAATTAAATGTCAAGTCGAAATTTAAGAAACGATCGATTCTATCTGCACATAATCTTTGTGCATATTAATAATAATAATAATAATAATAATAATAATAATAATAATAATAATAATAATAATAATAATAATAATAATAATATAGTATTAATAATAACAATGACAATTATAATAATTATTATATTTAATTAATTAATAATAATAATTCTTATTATTATTATTATTATTAATTAATTGATATTAATTAAAATATATTAATTATTACTATTATTATTATTATTATTATTATTATTATTATTATTATTATTATTATTATTGTAATAATAACAGTAATAATAATAATAATAATCAACTGAGTTATGAATTAATTTTCGTCATAGCCATTTTCTATTCTGAATCTCTCTTTCGTTTTACGAATTGTCGCAGACATAATTCTCCGAGGGTTTTACGTTAAATAAATTTTCGTTTGTTCTTTTACCTCATAAAAAAAAAAGAGAGAGAGAGAGAGAGAGAAAAAGAGAAAAAAAGAGAAAGAGAGAGAGAGAGAGAGAGAGAGAGAGAGAGAGAGAGAGAGAGAAATTATGTCGCTGCGAAATTGACTTATCGGCGAACAAATATGTATCGTTAAAAATTTTCTTACGATAAAAATTCATCATACCGTGGATATATGTATAATAAAATAAAATCAACAGTATACAAAAAATACAACAAAGTCGTTTGTTGGAATATATATATATATATGTATGTATGTATGTATGTATGTATGTATATACTTATGGATAGTCATACATACATACTTACATATATAGATACGAGACAATTTTTTTTTGTCCCTCTATGCATCTAACAATGCGCAACGCCATTATAGAGGATAAATTAAATGTCTCCGCAAGAAAAAGAAGAAAAAGAAAAAGAGAGAAAAAAGAAAAAAAAAAGAAACAAAATAGAGGAATGGTAGAGACAAATTTTTGTCGTTTGCATTATTGCAAAATGTATAAGACGCAATAGAATATAAAATACAAAAGACAAAAAGACGAACAGAGAATAAGAGAGAAAGAGAGAGAGAGAGAGATAAAGAGAGAGAGAGATAGAGAGAGAGAGAGAGAGAGAGAGAGAGAGAGAGAGAGAGAAAGATAAAAACGAATGATAATGTCATACGTTTGGCACGATAAAACGCATTTATATTCGACGATTTCCAACTAAAAAAGAGAAACAGAAAGAGAAATAGAAAGAGACATGAAAAACAGGGACATGAACAGCGACAGAGAAGCTACATATATCGAGCATTAATAGGTAACCAAATATCAGCAGCAGCAGCAGCAGCAGCAGCAGCAGCAGCAGCAGCAGCAGTAGCAGCAGCAGCAGCAGGAGTAGCAGTAGCAATTGCAAGAAGAAGAAGAAGAGTAGAGCACGAGGGCACCGCAATGCGCAATTGCGCAAAACGTCCCGTGACACAGCCACATGACTTCTCACGAGGTGGTGAGACGCCTTGGCAGAGAGAAAAAGAAAGATAGAGAGAGATAGATAGATAGATAGATAGATAGATAGATAGATAGATAGATAGATAGATAGAGAGAGAGAGAAAGAGAAAATTAGAGAGAAACATACACATATTTCTTCTCTCTCTTTTTCTCTCTCTCTCTCTCTTTCTCTCTCTTTCTCTCTTTCCATTTATATATACATACATATATCTCTTCCTCTCTTTATGCGTAACCCGATTTCCAAGCTTTCGAATACAAATGGTGAAAGAGAGTAAAAAAAATAGAGAAAGAGAGAGAGAGAGAGAGAGAGAGAGTGTGTGTGTGTTTATGTTTATGTGTATGTATATATATAAATATATATATAGATAGGTAGATAGATACGTATATACAGTCAAGTTCATTTTTCGTTAGGTCGTCGGATACGATAGATACGCATGCAACATACGTTGCATGAAAATCAATGCAAATGTTATCATCACATGTAAGTGCTTGTATATGTACATACATGTATACATACATATATATATATATATATATATATATGTATGTATATATATATGTACTACGAAACCAGTTCACCAATCGTGCCAAGAATTTACGAAACTCGGTTAGTAAAGTAAGAAAGAAAGAAAAAGAAAAATAAGAAGGAAAAGCAAAGAAATAAATAATAAAAGAGAAATAAAAAAAAAGGAGCAAGAGAAAAACAAGAGTTCATAAAAAAAAAAAAAAAAAAAAAGAAAAAGAAAAAAAGAAAAAAGAAAATTCGTAGACGTTCGTCCAACGAGCGTCCTAATACAATTTTTAACTTTAAGAGCTTTTACGTGCTTAAAATGTTATTATTCGTTCGTTTTGACTTGATTGTCGATCTAATTTGAATATGAGAAAAAAGATAAAAAAAAAAAAAATAAAAGAAAAAAAGGGAAAACTAGAAATTAAAAAGAAAAATGTCAAAGTTTTTCTTTACGAAATTAATTATTGAAACGATTTGAATCGTGATAGTAATTACGACGGATTCGTGCGACGAAGTAACTTTTCTTTTTTTTTTTTTAATATTACGACAAAACGACGAGTTTTATAATCGACGAAGAATTAGGAAAAGAATCATAAAATTAGGAATGGAGAGAGAGAGAGAGAGAGAGAGAGAGAGAGAGCTTTCGACGTCGGAAAATATTTTTTTCCCCAACTTCTCGAAATCGATGGAATTTTTTAATCCGTTTATCGGATCGGAATTTTTTTTCTTTTTTGTTTTATATATTTTTTTTTCGTTTCGTTTCGTAATAATTAACGAACGGATAATAAAAAAGATTAGAAATTTCGAATTGAATTGAGTTCGAGGTTGGATCAATGTTACCCGTTCTTACGAAATTACTCAATTACCCCCGTAATAGCATTGAAAGTTCAAACGACAAAGTTATAATTCTTTTACCACATATACTCTTTCACGATCGCCGACAAATTGGAACATATATATTTCAAAATTGAAACGTGTACAAAATCTATCTAATGTAATTTGTCGTTCTCTCTGTCTCTCTCGGTCTCTCTCTCTCTCAAAAAAAAAAAAAAAAAAAAAAAAGAAAAAAAGAAAAAAAAAAAAAATAGAGCAATTGGACCATTACAAATTTTCGCAAAACAATATTTCCCCACAAACAAAACAATAATAATTCAATATTCAAATAACAGAACCAAGGACAAATTTGAAAATGTTAGAACACTTCGAATCGGAACGAGTCCAAAGTCAAATATAATTTATCATTCTCTAAAAAAAAAAAAAAAAAAAAGAAAAATAAAAAAAAAAGAAAAATAAAAATATGGAGCAATTCGACTATTATAACTTTCGAAAAAAGATCTTACAACAGTAATAATTCAAAATGATAATAATTAAAAATTAAAATAACGTTAATCAGCCTTACTAATATTATATATCTTTTCTCTTTATGGAAAACCAAAAGAATTTGATCTATATCGTAGACCTAAGAAAAATATCATTCTAATATGTGTGCGTGTGCGTATATTATATATAGATATACATGTACACACATACAGATATATACATATATATATATATTTACTCACACACAACAAACAAACACACGCACTCAGACATATATATATATATATATATATATATATATATATATATAATATCGTAATATTACGGTAGGCAAAAAGGATCATGCGAAAAGTTGACTGTACTCGTAGTTCGTTGAGAATCGATATGAAATGCAGCCCATCTTTTATTCATAGCAATGTGTACGGTTGCGATACGAGCTTGAGAAGCAATGTTGTTGGTGTCGTGGATATTAATGCAGGGAGTGCAGTCGACGTGTGTGCATACCCACCCATCTACACACATACCCTCTCTCTCTCTCTCCTTCTCTCTCATATATATATATATACTCGAATATACATACACGTAGATATACACACGCACAATATTCACTCACTCATTCATACTTACTCATGAGTGCACAAATACATATGCCCGCATATATATATATATATATATATATATATATATATATATATATATATATATATATAGTATCACGACCCACAACACTCCATATCGCGATTAGGTCGCGATCGTTGAGGCATAATGCAAGCGTGCCTTTACGTATATAACTAACCAGACAATACTCTACCCTTAGAGATTATATATCGATATATCGTTATTGTGTCGGTGTCACGCGACAATAATGAGCCAGTTACGTATTTCATTTTCGATTGTTCAAATTTTAAAATAATAATAATTTACAAATTTATTAATATCGTAGATTTCCTTTTTCTTTTTCTTTTTTTTTTTTTTTAAGTATCATTATTTATTTATTTATTTATTTATTTATTTATTTATTTATTTATTTATTTAGTTATTTATTTATTTATTTATTCTTCATTCTTTTTCAGGTTTTTTCTCTTCTTTCCTTTTTTTCTTTCTCTTTCGTTAGATAAGAAAAAAACCAGACGCACGGTTTATCGTCGAACAAATCGAAAATTTCACTTCTAATATCTAGGAGAATAAAAATTTATTCCTTTTTTTGATCGTTCATATTTGTAAAAAGAAATAAAATAAAATAAAAAAAATAAAAATAAAAAAGAAAAAAGAAGAAAGAAAGAAAGAAAGAAAGAAAGAAAGAAGGAAAGAAAATATACAAATCGTTTAAACTTAATTTATCTACCCCTCTTTTACATATCCTTTTCTTTTTTGTAGAAAATAATAAAAATGAAAAAGAAAAAAAAAAAAGGAAGAAATAAAGAAGAGATATATTATAATTTAATGTCATTTAAAGATTGACGTTGTAACATTATGATAAAGACCATTAGTTTTTAAAGATTGCTATTCATACACACACACACACACACACACACACATAAAAAATAGAGAGAGAGAGAGAGAGAGAGAGAGTTTAACTTCCAAATTGTGTTACAGGAATATGAATATAACTAGACGTTTTAAATTGACACATTA